TGCTCAAAATCCGACGAAAAGGAGATTTGGTTGCTATGCAATGTGTGCACTGCCCTTGTTTTCTCAGAGGTAGATTAAGTTTCTAACAAGGCTTCAACCCACAGTTTTTCCTGTTCTGGTTATCCTTCTGCTCACCCAAATTTTAAAATTTGAGGCTCTTCTGGTTTCGCCTTCTCAGCCGTGACTGAGCCAGAAAGGACTGGTCTGAAGCCCTGCTTGTCTGCCAGCCATTGATCCTCACAGTCTGCCTCTGCAACCCCCCCACCCCCACCCCACGTAAAGTGATGGCAGAGTTGAAATGGATGTTGGGCCCTTGCCACCTCTTTCTGCTTCTCTGGTAAGTTTGTCTCTGACAGTAATGCAGGCTTTGAAGCCCATCCAGGACAAGGCCCCATCTGCCCACTGCAAATTCTAGTAACAGATCACTGTTTATCATGATATAAATAATAGAAAAATTTGTTACGAGCTGGTGTTCCCAAAGAGCCTGGGTCTCCTATTTTTAGGCGGCCAGTCTGGGCTCCCGTGGCGTGTCCCTCTGCAGTCTGGGCACTGGCCCCAACCCTGCAGTGAGGCAGAGATGCGGTGGCAGGGCCCGGCAGCCCCGAAGGAGCTGACGCCCAGGGGAGTTGGACACCCAGGAGGGCCCTGGTCCCAGATAACTGAGAGGACGATTTTCAAATTCGAGGCTGAATTTAAAACTCTCAGAGAATGAAGGGCTGTTCTAAACACCTTGCAGCTCACTGTCCTTCAGACTGAAAGTGATTTAATGAGGCAGGGCTGGACAGATAAACTTAGCACAGAAGCAGAAAGAGGTGGCAGGGCCCAGCATCCATGAGTCTCATTTATTGGTGGGTTGTGAGGAAGAAGGGAATGTGGTAGCAGGAAGAGGGGGTTCAGGCAGGCTATCAAGTCTTGTAGGAACCCTGGTAGTGCAATGGTTAAGTGCTCAGGTGTGAACAAGAGGTGGGCAATTCAAACCCACCAGCTGTTCTGCAGGAGAAAAGACATGGTGACCTGCTGCCGTAGAAATTATAGCCCAGAAAACCTCATGGGGCGGTTCTACTCTGTCCTGTAACGTCACTGAGTCGAAATGGACACAACTGCACCCAACAGTAATAAGTCCTGGGTATTTCCCACCAAGGGAAGGAACCAACAGTTGTGGAGAGTGTGCTCTCTGCCACCTGTATTGCCCTCGCTGAATCCTCTCATTAACTCTGTAAAAAAGTTGTAAATGAGGACATCAAGGTTCAGAGGAGGGCTTCAAATTGGTTTGAATTGGTTCATTCATGGCTGCTGTGGGAAAACTGGAACAGACCTGAATTTGTAAAATGTGTGTGTACTGGAATGATAACTGGAATGGGAAAGACAAGAGGTATAGTGAGCCCTTTCGAGAGCCTGATGTGGGAGGTTGAATTATTGTCAAGACTCTGGAAAGTGATGCACATTTAAAGTGGTCTACTGGTGTCTTTGAGTGGGCCACTGTTGTTTCCAACTCTGTCAGTAAAGAGATTTGGTTGCTACGCAACGTGCACGCTGCCCTTGCTTTCTAAAAGGGTGATTAAGTTTCTAGCAGGATGTAGATGTGTGAATTTTCCCATTCCAGTTACTGTTCTAAGATACCCACCCACATTTTACAAATTCAGGTCCATCCCGGTTTCACTTCATTGGCCCTGACCAGATAGAGAAGAACCAGTTGGAAGTGCTAGTTCAGAGTGGCAAAGTAACCAATCTGAGAGGACATAACAGGAAGTGGCACAGCCAAGATCCAACTGGGATCTGAACCTGTCTCCTACAGTGTGCTGTCCTCGGAGGTTAGCTTAAACCTTTAGGAGCTCCTCGGGGGCGGGGGGGGAGGCCTGTTTAGAAAATATCTTTATTTTAGACTGGGGGATGATGTTTGTCTTATTCCCAGCTAAGTGATAAACAGGGAAGGAGGAGCAAGATGGGTGAATTGTAGAAACTGCTGGTGAGAACACTTCCTGTCTGCACTCTGATTCTGGTTTACCACCCTGAGCAGCTCGTTTTTTTCCATCTATGAAATGGGTACGTGCTGGGTACCTCTCCTTGGGGCTCCGGCAGCAGCCCGTCAGTGAGCTGTGACATCTGTTCACATCTCTGGGATGCCCCAGGGTCAGGGACTGTCTTGTTCACTGTGGTATCTGGATTCCTGGCACGTAAAAGTGAGTGAGTGAACAAAGGAACAGGGAAAAATAAACATACAGTAATAATAGTTTATTGTGTAGCAATAGTAGGTTGAAGCCAGCTCATACCAGCTTGCAGGGCAAATTATTAAATATTCAGAAATTTTGTGAGCCCAATGGTGCAGTAGTTGTTGAGCTTGAAATTGACCAGTGTGGGAGAATTTACACCAAAGAAATCGGCAAATGCTTTTTTCTTTCTTTCTTTTTTTTTTTTTTTGGCAATCCACTTTAGCAACACACCCCTGGACAGCACTGAACCATGTCAGGCACTGTTTTAAGCACTTTACTTACGTTAATCTGCATGTAGTCCTCACAAGAACCCTGTGAGGAAGGGACATTATTATTGTCACCTTACCGCTAGGGAAACTGAGGCCCAGGGAGGCTGAGTCATTTCCTCAGCAGGAATGTGGGAGAGCAGGATTGGGGCCGTCCTGCCCGTCTCTGGCTCAGGTGCCCTTTGTGGCCTCCCAGGTGCCAGCCGTTCCAGGCGCAGCCACTGCTTTTCATCATCTCCTCCGGGAGTAGGTCCTCCGGGAGAAGCAAGGCAGTTGCCTGGTGACTAACTCGTTTCCCAGTCCTCAGGTCACGCTGTGTTATGGGAGGACAGAGATCGTCACACGGGTGCCCCTCTGCCTGGGCTCCAGACAACAGACACAGTCAGCCCCAGCCAGGCTCCACGCAAAGGTCCAGACCTCACTCTCGCCCTGTTGACGCTGGCAGAGCCATTTGTATGATTGAATTAGAGCCCTGACGTCTGGGAGCAGCAACGAGGGCTTTGTGAAGAGGGAGCCCCACTGGGCGCCTGCATCACTGCCAGAGAAGGAGGGCCACCTAGGGACCACAGAGCCTCATGGGCACGTCCACCCAGTACTGGGCTTTGGCATGTCCCTTGGGGCCATGGGTGGGGACAGTCACAGACTCCCTGAAGCATAAGAAACAAGTCTCTCCAGGGTCCATTCTGACTGAAACGTTGCAGGCAGTGTGAGTCCACATCAGCCTGTTTTACCACTTGGCCTCGTCACCGCCCACCAGTCTGCCTCCGTACACAACAAAAAGTCCCTTAGGAGCAAAGGCCATGTCTTGTTTCTGGCGTGGCCCCAGGACCCCAAACATAGTGGGCCCTCAATAAATGTGGAATGAAAATGAATGATGTTCCTTTGGCGTTTCCACTCTCCTGCTCTCAACAGGAGCCCTGCTTATTTCTCCCGGCCCCACTATGAGGAATTCATTCCTTTCGGTCTTCCCACCCAAGCCTGCCTTTCTCCCAGCTCCCTGCTGGCTGGAGAGGTGGTTTGTGTGGTGCAGGGCTGAGGAGGGCAGAGGAGGAGGTGATTGTGCTGAGCTGAGACCCGAAGACAGAGAGGAAGGGAGTTCCAGGCAGAAGACACTGCGGGTGGGAGCTCCCGCCGGCGCTGAGGGGGCCTGGTGGCACGAGGTGAGGCTGGCAGGACAGGCAGTGAGGAGAAAACCAGCTCCCGTCACCTTATACTCTGGGAGCCCCACCCTCCCCGCAGCCACCCAAGGAGCAGCACGCAGCAGTGTGCCCCACTCACTGAAGAACAAGACCCCTGGGCTGTGACCTCTACCTGCCTGCCCTGTCCCCAGCTCTGGGAGCAGCTGTGCCACGGGGCAGGGGATACAGACAGGAGAAAGCCCCGTGAGTCATACATCGAATCCTTAAATAATTTAAGGTCGTGAAATTCCAGCAACCGATACTGTTTCAGAGTGAAATGGTCCAGCAGTTGTGGGCAGTGGGCTGGCTCAGCTGTCACACCTCCCAGTGGGCCAGTGGACCCCTGTCCTGACCCCAGAGGCCACTCTGGTTTCTAGAATCCTTTTGCTGGCTTGAAATTCTCTCAGGCCAGTTGACGCTTCACCATTACATTTCCTCAGCCGGGCCAGGTCTCCACACCACCAGAGGGGTGCTTTGCAATGCAGGTTTCCAGGCTCTGCCCGGCTTCATCCATGGAACTGGGGAGTGTACAGAGGAGCTGCCTTTCAACAAGGAGGGGGCAGATTCCTCCGCTCTGGCTGTTAGAAGGCCCCCTAAAGGCACCCCTGCCCCTGGAAGGGACTTGACCCTCCACTTGGGCCAGTGCTCTGAAGGAATGGGCTGAGCGTCACCCACCCCGCACCTGCCCAGGCCTGTGAAGCTGACGCAGGTGTATACCCAGCCAAGACCAGGCTGGGGCACCCAAGGACCCGTGCACCCCACTGCCAGCACTGATCACAGAGCCTGGCGGGCAGGGCAGACCCTGAGTCCCTGATGGTCATTGTCCCTGTGTCACCCAGCACTGAGCACAAAGGCCTCTCCTTCGGAAAGGGAACTTGCTAGACTGCGTTTCTGCCCTGGCCTTGTGACCCGCTCTGAGCATTGGTTCCTCACTTGTAAGGTGGAGAGAGTTCTGTGGTGACAGCCTTTGAAGTGGACTCCTTGTCCTGTGTCTGGCCCTTGTCGTGGGCTCTCATCAATGGATTTGTTGCTGTTAAGCTACCACTGAGTGGTCCAGCACCAGGTTGTGCGTCCATCTCAATGGGCTGCCAAGGGGAGGAGCAGGGCCTTCCTAGGATAAGCATGGTTATTATGATTGCCCTTACTGTTGTTCACCACAGAGCTGATTCATGCTTCTCACTGGCCCAAGGGAGCCGCCCATTCTAAGATCTAGGAAGATGTGTGGTGGGGCAAGGGTAAGGTGGACTTTAACTTCCCAGACACCCCTCCCGTCCTTACCCCAACTATGCTCACACCTACTTTTTCCCAGCCCCAGGCAGGGGTGTGAAGGGCCAGGCACGACGGGCATGACGGATATGCAGGGGCAGGGGAACCTCCGAGGTGGGCCCTTGGACCCCTTCCCCTCTCGTTTCCGCTCTGGTCTGGGCGCTCACCAACCCCCACCCCCCGCAGTGCGCGAAGCCGGCGTGCGCTAGGACCGCGGCGCGCCGCTCTCCGCCGCTATATGAGGCAGCGCTCGGGCTCCACGCGGAACCCGCGGCTCCCGGCCGTACCCAGCGCGCTCCGACCCACGCTGGACTGGAGGCCAGACCGGCCGCTGCGCAGCCGAGCCAGCCCGGGGCCTGCGAGGGGCGCGCGCCCAGAGCGCCGCCGCGGGCACCATGGGGGCTGCCCACTCCGCGTCCGCGGAGGTGCGGGAGCTCGTGGGCAAGACCGGCTGTGAGTACCCCGCGGGGCAGGGAGGGGGTCGGGGACGGCCGGCGGGGCCCCCAGCCCACCGCCCGGCTTTTCGCGCCGCCGCGTCATGTGACCTTGGGCAGGTGGCTGGCCCTCGCTGCACCTCAGTCTCCTCCTCCTCCAAATGGGTCCCCACCGGCCGCTTGGCGGGCTGCGGCGAGGAGCCCCGCGCGATGCTGAGTAAGTGCCGGGGCCTCGTAGCCTCGGGGCTCTCGGAGTTGGTCGGGAAGCCGGGGTCCTGGGACTGCGGGCCGGGGAGGAAGCGCCTCCGGCGGGGAGAGCGAGCGCGCGGCGCCTCGGGCAGGTGTGCGCGCCCCGCGCCTGGCGGTCGCTCGGCCCCAGACGAGCAGGGGGCGGAAAGTTTTGAAGTCGGCCAGAACTGAGAGCGAGCCGGCTCCGCGGCTCCCGGGCAGAGTGACCTCAGGCGGGTGAGCGCCTCCTTCTGCGCGCTCCCTCCTCTCCGCGTCTGTGAAATGGGTGTAGCTGGGAGGCTTAAGGGAGGCGGCGTCCGCGGAGCACTTTGCCCTCAGCTCCGCGTCCTCCTCGGGGCTCGCCCGGACCCCGGGACCTGCAGAGGCTGCGCGCCTGCATCCGGCTCGGGGCGGGGCGGGGCGCACGGGGAGGCCCCGCCGCGGGGTAGCACTGCCCGCAGGGAAATGACGGAGGAAGCGCCGGTCCGGCGGGGCTGGGGACTCCGGGCTCTGACCTCGGGGCGCCAGGCTGTGCCACCAGCCCTGAAGAGGGTGTGGACCAAAGGGCTTCCGGGGACTAGGTGTGTGGGCAAACTGGCTTTGGCGGTGCACCGACTCGGTTTGTACTCTGCCGGCACTACTTCCTGGCTGTGTGACCTTGGGCGAGTCGCTTTACTTCTCCGAGTCTCAGTTTCCGTCTTTAGGGAACGGGGGTTCTGCTAAAACCTGGTCGAAGCTCAAGAAATCCGAGCTGCTGGCGTTATTTCTAGGAAGAAGCAGGTTCCTGGCGCCTGCTTTGAGTTCAGTGCAGCCGACAGGCGTCCAACTGTCCCCGGGAGGGGTGGCCCCGGCGTTTGTTTTTCAGCTGAGCGGGTCACCCAGGGTAGCCCCTCCTGAACCCCAGCCTAAATACTTTTTGGGAGGCTTGGATGAAAATCACAGCCCTTAATAACGTGTGTGCGCGCACAAGCACACATGCGTATTTCTGTGTACAAAAAAAGAAGTATCTCCAACTAGAGAAACGAAGGTGAGGTGCAAAATACATAAACGGTACCCTTTTTGCAAAAAACAGGGACAGTAAGCATATCCGTGTGTAAGTGCTTTACTTGCACCGAAGACTCTGGAAGGATGCACTGGGAATGGAGAAGGTAATGCATACTTCTTGGGGGAGATGGTGGGAGGGATGAAGGAGTGAGCTTTTCACTGTAAACTCTTATTTTCATTTTGAGCCATGTGAATATTTTACTTACTTAAAAGTTTTATAAGTCCAGGGTAAACCCAGGGCTAACCTGAGAGAGGAGGTGGTATTCTCCTTGCCTGCCCTTTACTGAGTCTCTCCTGGGTTTGGTTTGGTTTGTTTTTATTTCTTGAATGCCCTCCCACTGCCTCCCTGCTGCCGCCACAGGGCTTCAAACCAGTTCTTCCTGATTTAGTCATGACCAGTGGAGCGAAACCTGAAGGGACCCCAATGTATAAAATGTGGGTGAACCGGAATGATAACTGAAATGGGAAAAATTATGGATTGACGCCCTGCTACAAATGTAAACTTCTTAGAAAACAAGGGAAGCGTGCATGTTTCATAGCAACCAAATCTCTTGACTGCCTGAGTCAGAAAGAACCGTGCCCAACTCAAAGTTGGTGGCTAACTACACTACTTTGAAAGGGCGTCCGTCACTCTCCGTGGTCCTGGCAATAATCCAGTCTCCTAGATCAGGCTCCTGCAAGGGATCTCTCTGCCTCTTCTGAATCTATTCAGGGCTTCGACCAATGATTTTTTTCCATCACGGTTACAGTTTTACAAATTTGAGTCTGTTCTGGTCTCACTCTGTTGACCGTTACTGAATGGTTCGAACTGGTTTGAAGCCTTGTGCTGCCCTTGTGTCTGGGTGAGTTGAGATGGGGGTTCTCAGTAGCTGGGGTCCCTACCGGAAGAGTGGGCTCACTGCCACCCTCCATCTCAGGCAGCACCACCACAGGCCAGGGGAACCGATTTGGGGGAGTTGCGCTTTGACAGGTGACTGGATCTTACCAGTTGCTGGTCCCCAGCCTCCCCACCTATCCACGAGGTTCCTGCTCTGTAGCTTTTGCTGGGTGTGGCTTCCCTTCTCACCGCCCAGAACACCTCAAAGCAGGGCAGGAGACCAAGGGGTCTGAGAGAAGGTTCTGAGGTAGACAAGAGAAGGAATTCCTTCGGCTGTCTGCACACTGTTGTTTGCCATCGAGTCAGACCCGACTCGTAGCGAGCCCTCCTTGGGTTTCCGAGGCAGTATCTCTACAGAAGTAGGTTGCCCAATCTTCCTTCTGAGGAGTGGCTGGTGGGTTTGAACCGCCAGCCTTCTGGTTAGCGGTCAAATGCCTTAGGCACTATGCTACCAGAGCTCCTACATGAGGAAGGTGGAAGTACCTCTCCCTCCTCTGGGAGGAACTGAGTATTCACAGGTGACCCAGAGGGGCCAATGTTCCTGACAGGAGACAGGAAACAAATCACTGATAGGGATAGGCAGTAAGCTCGGTGAAAAGATAAGCTAGGGTGAGGGAGGCTGGTGTGGCAGGGACACTCATTTCTCTGGGGTGGACTGGGAGAGCCTCTTTGAAAAAGTCACATTGGAACAGAAAGAAACCTGAATAAGAAGGTGGCAGCCACCTGCAGATGCATGGAAAGGACATTTCAGGCAGAAAGAACAGCACATGCAAAGGCCCTGTGGCAGACTGCAGGAACAAGGTGGCTCTGGTAAGTGTGGATTGTGTGAGACAAAGGCTGAGTTGTAGTCAGGGCTCAGGTCATGGGAGGTGCCTGCTTTAACAACAGATTGGATTCCAGCCTTGCTAGCTGCGGGGTCTTGGGCGGGTACCTTGGTTTCATCTGCTGTGAAATGAGCACAGTATTACATCTTCTTCATGTTGCTGGGAAGGATTGAGTGAGCGAGGTAAAAAGTGCCTAGAACAGTGCTTGGTCAGGACAGGTGTGAACTTTTAGGGTTCCTGGCTGCACGTGAAACATCTTTGTACCAGCTGGTCACCAAGGGACCCACTTCTCCCCAGCTATGTGACCTTGAGCAAGTAAGTCATTTTACCGCTGTGAGCCTCAGTGTCCTCCTGTGGGTCCTGGGGTGGTTGTGCAGATTCAATGAGATGATGTATGGCTTTGGCATGGGGTGTCAGTTCCCAGAATCCCACAGGCTGGGTGGGGCTGTTCCTACAAGAACCCTGGACACATGCCCCACCTGAGAAGAAATGTGCTGAAGAAGGGGAGACCCCAAGGCTGTGGTGGTCAGAGAGGAGGCTGTGTGCGCAGGGCGGCCTCTCTTTCTGGCAGCTCAGCCTGCGCCTTCCGGAGGGACCGGAGTACGAGGAGCCCAGTGCTGTCCTGAGCGGCTGTGAGGAGGGTGCGGGGAGGATGGTGTTGCTCCGCCTCATCCCTGAGCACCCGCTGAGGCCAGGCCCCACGCCAAAGCTCCTCCTGCTGCCTCATTGAATCGCCCAGTTCTCCCCGTAGGGAAGTGGGTGATATCACCATTTCACAGATCAGGAAACGGAGGCTCAGAGAGGTAAAGCAACTTGCCTGCAGGCCACAGCTAGTGAGTGGAGGAATGCGGCATCGTAGGGTCCCTACATCCCCTTTCTGGCCACCGCTGTGTTTTCACTGTCTTTGTTGGTGGTTGTTATGTGCCGTCGAGTTGGACCCGACTCATAGTGACCCCTCCTTGGGTTGCCGAGGCGGTATCACTTTGGAAGTAGATTGCCCTATCTTCCTTCTGAGGAGTGGCTGGTGCGTTTGAAACTCCAGCCTTCTGATTAGCAGTCCAGTGCCTTAGGCACTACGCTACCAGAGCTCCTTGACTGTCTTGAGTGGCCTTGATTTCTGGGAACCAAGAAAGAGCAGACGAGGCCTGCTCTTGGGTTTGCTCACCTCCAGGCCTTGGCACGAGCCAGTCCCTCTTCCTGGAGTGTTCTTTTGACTCCTGTGTGGACAATCCATCTTCCTGCCTGGGAACGTTCCCGCAGCCACCTCCTAGGGTTTAAGACATCATACGTGCCCCCTGAACCCTGTGTGTGTGAAGGAAAGGCTCTCCGGTGCTCCCACAGCCTGTGCTCTCTCTCCCGTAATAGCATGCATCACACCGTGTTTTAATTGTCAGCTTTGTCACCCGCCACCCCCTCGAAACGCTGAACCTCCCAGAGAGTGAGGAGCGGTCCTGTGCCCCTTTGGATTCGGTGCGTACTACACAATGAGATCACAGAGCTTCACGTTGCAGGGTGTTGGCTCAAGGATCTGTGTTCAGTGGAAAATCAAGGGCCACCCCACCAGCTGGCACTGGGCACACAGCCCTCCCAGCATCTCTGGTCCCCTCCCTGTGCAGTGAGACCCATTGGCTTCAGCTCTGAACCAGCACTGCTGAAAATAGTGCAGAGCCCTGGCGCGCCCACCCAGGGGCACCGCGGGGTCTCGTACACCCACCTGCCAGCTCCCTGCCTGCTGGAAATCTCATTGATTGACTTAAACCATAAACAGGTATTCTTCTCTGAGCTGAGGAAGCTAAACACCTAGATTATTAAAATGCATATTAAAAGCCCAAGCCGTGCTGTTCTAGTTGTGGGGTTTGAGCTTGTGTGGTGAGCTTGCTGCCCCACCGCTCCCCGCAGGGCATGAGCAGAACTGTGCCTGGGGGTGTGCCAGGGTGTGAAACGGCCCCACAGGAAGCAGAGGCTCCTAGGATCACTAACCCAGGACCCGCCCGACTTTGGCCCGAGACAGTTCCCTTTGCCCGCCCCACCCCCAGCCGGCCTGAG